TATATGGCGAACGGCTATGGGGGTGGAATTCCCTGCCTGCAGACTTGTTCCCTGAACGTTGTAACTTGGGCCTTTTCAAGGCGAGAGTGAATAGGCATTACTTAGGTGTGCATGCTTCAACCATCAGTTTTCATCAAGTGAGATGAAGGTCAAATAATAACGCACACACTGATAACAATAACGCACACGCTCAATATAGCCCCGCACTAGGGAAACCCTATGTCGCGGGTGCCATGGACACACACGTAGACAACCACAAATTACACCCAAACTCACGAGAGAAATAAATGTACAAACTGTTATACCCTGATTTTCTTCCCTTAAATATGATTACTAAGCATTTATATTCCGTTCTGTTGGCTGATTTACCACCACTCGCGCAACACGCGTTGTCCAGGAGCAGAGACTTTAGTGCCGTAATCTCGTGGGTCACATTTTTGTAAAACTTTAAACTTGGTAAAATTGTGAAAGTGTCTAATAAATTAGGGAAAGTTTTTGTGAGTTTTTTTAAAAAGACTGGTGCCCACTGCCGCCTATCAAAACGAATGAACCTGGGACCTCTGCGTGGCAGTCCGGCATGGTAACCGTTCGGCCACAGAGGCAGGTCAAATGCGCACTTACATTTTATTTAAAAAAAAAATTGAATTTGCACGAAACATAATTAAAGCTTATTTGTGTTTTTCACAATTACGTCAGATTAAGAGATAGTATTTACTGCCACCTTATCTATTTCTGCCGCCAAGCGTAATGTCAGCTGTGTACCGATTTTGAAGGGTAAGGGTGCTGGTGAATTTACAGGCACATGGGACTTATCAACTTATATCTTAAGGTGACGGGCGCAGTGATCCCTCAGATCTTTGCGATTTAAAGCTCTGAGTGGCACTGCAACTGTTATGAACAGGCGTATAGCTTACCATCAGGCGCACGACTTGTTCGTCTCGTCACTTGATATTATATAAAAAAAGATGGCTACAGATTTAAAGATACATTATACAAAATATCTCTAGATGGCCTACGTGCTACTACAGTTCAACCAGATGTAAGGTCAGTAAGGTCTCAAAATACAAGAATATACTTATTATTAGCTGATTATTTTATGATAGAGCGTAGACCTCCATGTTAGAACAAAATGAACTAACTTTCATATTTTAAAATTCTATTAGAGTACTCAGAAGATTCCATGTTGCCGATCTTTTTTTAAGACAGTTTATCTTCTTCGTGTAATTGCTCTATAAATAACTAATTATAATTCGTTCGCATTTCTTAATACCTACAAAGGAATTAACATTCGTAATAGTGAATTCAACTAGTAATTAATATAGTAATTGTTATAAAATATTGCTTGCAAAGATAATCCTGAAACCATTGTTGGCATATTCTAAGCGCCTGAAATATTATTATTAGCAATTACACGGAGAAGATTAACAATCTTTTTAGAAGATAACCTTTGCAAAGGCGTTATATTATTTTTTTAATAACTTTTTACAGAAGCTTCATAAAATAGTATTTAGGTAGTAAATAGTTATATAAAAAAGGTAAATTATATACTGCTAGAACCATGAAAAACGTAAAGTGGTCCAGCCAACCTGACGTCAGAATGACTGGCCACTTTGTTTCTTTAATATTTCCGATAGCTCAAAGATAGAAAAGAAGTCAATAAAGGTAGTTACTAAATAGTTAATAGAAAATAGGTAATAAATAATGAGCAGTTTGATTTGTATATCTCATTTGGTACAGCCTACTATAGTAGGTACTTTAAGATCGCGCGATGGTCGTGGACGCGATGTATAAGCGTCCAGTACCTCGTCGACGCTCTGATTGCGCGCCCCTTCTGGTCAAGGTCAAACCTTGCAAGCGACAGCTGAATTTTCTTTACTTTTACTAGATTACCTAAAACTTTATACCATTGTGGAGACTTTCGCAATACACTCCCGGACATACAATTCGAGCCACCTTGCATTTTCAATATTAAACGCTTAGCTTAAACAATGCTTGATTGCTCAAAAATGCCATATTGCATTTATTTTTGAAAAGTCGTGTCCGCCACTTTGGATTTAGAAATAAATGCTATATTCGTAATAAACACCCCCAAATACCTCGAAAACGGTACCCAACTTGACATTATTTGAAAAATCGTGCCCGCCATCTTGGAATTAGAAATGAGGACCATATTCGTAATGAGCACCCCCAAATACCTCAAAAATGATACCCATATTGCATTTATTTGAAAACTCGTGTCCGCCATCTTGGATTTAGAAATAAATGGTATATTCGTAATGAGCACCCCCAAACACCTCGAAAACGATACCCAACTAGTGCGACTATCGAATTTGACTATGTAAATAGCCTGATATTACCTGTGGCTAAACACATGAAAAGTACAGGATAACAATAAAGAACCTGGACCTGAAAGTTATTTACACACGACTTTGGAGACCTGACGATGAATTTTGTAGTCAGTGATAGTTCCCTGAAATAAGTTTAGTTAAGAACTTTGAGTCTGGGCAAGACAATCTTTTCAAATGAGTGCACGACGAACAAGAATAATGATTTTTCACATGGAGGCAAATACCAAATATATTCCGTAAAAATAGCTAACGTAAATTCCCTACAATGTTGCCGCGGCGGTGTACATTTTTAGAAATTTTGCAGCCGTCGCCTATATTGCCTATTCTCAAAAAATTGGGTAATATAATTATTTTGAAACAGATTAGCAAAATGGGGAGAAAAAAATCCGTTACTTTGCAACATTTTCGTATCTTGTTGCAACGTAATTAATTTTCTGTTTTAGTAAATATTTACATAAAAATACAAGTTGAAACGCGTTACTTCCTTGTGGAATGTGATGTTAGTGTCTATTTTATGTTTTCTGATCTAATTTTACACCCATTTACCGCACATTTCGTCATTTTTAGCAAAATTTTTGGGCTGTTCGCGGTGCAACTTGACCTTGACCTTGAACACTGACAGCCCGCCCACTCGTGTAGGCCCATAGGGTTCAATAATATGTATTTATATATTTATAAATCAAACAAAACAACTTTAGTGAACCGTTTATTACAATAGTCTAAAAATATCTTAAACAACTATCATTTTGTGAAAGCGGTTAAGGCGTTACTCTCCTTTCCTCCGCGTAATCGAGTAAATAAAATGGTACTAGCGTGTAATACTATAACAAAAAACCTTTCAACGGCAGTAGAATGTCCGTGGTCAGCGGTGAGACGCACCAGAGATGTCACAAAGCTTCGACTCTTGAAAAAGTAAAAATAGGGCAAAATGTTTGTATTACTTTCCGGTATCCCAACAAACACCAGAGGTTGTAATGGTTAAAACGAAAATAGTTTACTTAATATATCGTCAATTCGAAACTGCTTTGTTTTTCATTGAGCTTTGACGCGAGTTGTGCTGGCCAGCGATCCCATAAGTGACGATCGTATTAGGTTTCATTTAAAAAAATTTCGAATAACAAATGTGTCGTAAAATTATACAGTCATAAACTGGACGTGACTTTTGACAACAATGTACACCTATTAGCTCCTTTACGAAACTTGATGAGCGGACAAACGTCAAAACGGCAATCATAGCGTGCCGGTACTTTAGTTAATGGGAAGTGGTTGTTAATGCACCTGTTACCAACAAAAAAGCGAATGAAACTAGTTAACCCTTATGACAGGCTAACACAATCGTGAGGGAAACGATGTCGTTGAGACTTGACAACTAATCAACGCTTGCGCAATAAACAGTCGTTTAATTCCATCTTCATAAAAGAAGGATTATTAAAAGTTACGGAGCATCCCCCGCACATCACGGCTTAAAGGGGTATTCCATCGGGTATTTGATAGACTTGTTTTCACAAACCCAATCGTTTCGGTAAGTATATTTTCGGTTTAACCCACAGAAATGCTAACCAAATTGATTGAGTTAATTCGAGTAATTACCGACAACCCGCAACAGGGTTTCACTTTTAAGTGTTTATAGAACGCAAAATAACAATATTGGTGTGACGTCTTTACACCACAACTAAATAATAGCCCTCAAATGGCAAATTTTGTTTGAGAAACGCGTCTCCTCTGTCATATGCTCGAAGGGGTAACGTCTACAGTACCGGCACGCTATGATGGCCGTTTGAACAGATTACAATAGTGAGGTCTGATTCAATTCATTATCGAAAAAATATAATCAAGTGTTAAAAAGTTTTAATGGTAAGCAATTCCGGTACTTGATTAAAATTACACAAGCATGCTGTGGTCAGAGCCCCTATACATGGCATTGACAAAAACTGTTCTTCACACCTGCCATCATTGATTATATAGCAACGTTTTATGTCGAATTTGGCTAGAGTATAGGTTTAACAGCTCCTGTGACATTCCTAGCTGTCAAGACTGACAAGTTAATAATGGACCCTAAAATGGCGGCGCTAGTTTTGCCTTTTGACGTCAATTTTCGTGACGTCAGCGAAAGTGATTAGTTCTTTAAAGCTCCGCAATATGGTGGACGCCAATCTAAACTTTTCAATGTCTCAAATTCTCAACTAATTCGATGGAGATGAAAAATACTGTCATCTCTTTCGGTCTCTAACGTGTTTGAAAGAGACGAACGAAATTCGGTCATGTTAAATCATCGAGTATATAACCAGAAATAGAGACGAAATAATGGCCATCCATCCCTGGCAACTTATCAGGTAAATGGACCTTATATCACTTTTAAATATCAACTCTCGTTTGCGCAGAAATCACAAATTAGAAAGCTGGAATAGTACAGCGCCAACTACTGACCTGTGTGTACGTCTCCGTATATTCCAAAAATATTCTGTATTTATTGTAATAAAGATAATAATATCTCCAACAATGGGGGGCTGTTCCATTCGGTGGTCTGGGAAAAACAGCAAAACAAACGGAATCACATTTCATACGTAATTAATAATTAAATATGTAATTTTTAAATTTTCGTTCAATATAGCAAAGCTTAAGTTAAACTGGTCGATTAGAAGTGAAACAATTGACGACACCCGTCAATTGTTTCGAATTCCGGCTGGCCAATCGGAGCGCAGTTCTCACCGCAATGATTTGGCAGAGCAGTTTTCAAACAAAATTAAACGACATTTCTGGTTATATATTCGATGTGTTAAGTAGATGCTTTGGGAGACCCAACGGTCCCGTAACGGGACCTCCACTCTCCACATCTCCACTCGCAAAAAGATTTGCATGCCCGACAGACGCTAGAGGACAGCAGTTCTGTCTCATTCTCCGGAGTCTAGAAGTAAATAATAAATCTCGTCTTTATCTACAGGCGTCCCATGAAATATGTGCCATACTTTCAGCGCATCTATCGAATTAGTTGAAGGATTAAGCGACAGAATCGACCGCAAGCTAAGTTGACAAGTTATCCCATGCGCGGGCGTCCCATTCCGCGACCAGGCGCCGGCGCATCGCCACCGCTTTTCGGGTTCTTTATTGTCTCGTCGATTGAGAGGATCTGGAATGAAAACACATAAATGTTACATGGTTTCCTATGCAACGTGAATCGCGACAGTCGCGGGTCGATTTAAACTGGCATTGTTCTTTATTTGTTCGAAAGAAAAGCAGTAGTCAAAGGTTTACTTTCGTTTCTTGCGACAAAAAAACAGAAAACTTATTAAAACTAAAATAAGACTTAGCGATGACATGAAACATCACCATAGATAATATATATAACAAGTGCCAAATAATTTTTGCACTCCAAATTAGCAAAAACAAGTTATTTTTCTAGTATTTCATTGGTCTGCAAAAGTAAACCTTATACAGCTGCAATATGGTCGCTTCTCTTTGGGAGAACTAATTAACATCTCGAATCCGTCGTCAAAGTCAAAGTCAAAGTCAAAGATTAAAGTCAAAGATTATTTATTCCATAGGTAAAATAAATTTACACTAGAAATCGTCACATTTAAGCTACTGCTCGTTCACTACGCTGACCTCCCTGAGAAGAACGAGCAAGAAACTCTAGGGATTGCTCTTTTCAAATAAACTTAAATGCTATGGAATACACTTTGAATCAAATTTGTGTGGATTCTGGAGCCTAGTCGTCTTTCCATACATCTTTATCTAACACGTAGTCTTCAATTTTGTAATATGATTTTCGATCAAAATATTTATCGTCGCTCTGCTATTGACCGCTAGATGGCAGCACATTGACTAAAATTTCAATATAAAATCAAAACGTCGTGACTTGCAATAATAGGTATTGAACTTACAATGATATGCCAACAGAGTGAAGTTTAAATTATATTAACAGTTCAGAATTTACTTCTTTTTCAATTTGAAACAACAACCAACCATTGTCCAGGCTTCATAGTGTTTCAAATTATAAATGTGTGAGTTGTGGCGACATCGGTTCTATTAGTAATCCAGGCTTAAGGCAATTCCGTTGTTTTTTTCTTCCGTAGTTAGCATGTTACAACCTTAGCGAAGGCATAGCTTCACGCTGTGTGCCTTATTCCAGAGTGACCATGGTCGAGTTTTTGAAATTTGACTAGCGAGAAAAAAGTCGCTATTCAGTCGGTTCTAGTCGCAAAAAACTAGATTTAGTCGGTCCGCCGTTCAAAAGTTATAAGGGTGTTCTCCTGTCCACGCTGGAATAAGCCTATTCCGGCGGCACCATTTCTCAATCTCGAGAACCACAACACATAGCTTAGACCTGATTACACTAAAAAGTCGGGATTTGGTCGGTTCTAGTCGCAAAAACTAGATTTAGTCGTTACGCCGTTTTAAAGTTATTAAGGTGTTTTACTGTCCACGCTGAAATAAGTATATTCCGGCGGCACCATTTTTGAATCTCGAAAACCACAGCTCCTAGCTTTTATATAATAGACACACACTTGGCCACAATCTCACCCGATGTTAAGCGACGATGGGACGCGTTTACCTAAGAAATGCCCATTCACTCTAGCCTTGAATAGCCCCAAATTGTACTTTTCGGGAAATACAGATGCCGTAGAGCATTCCATTCCTTTGCCGTACGCATTAGAAAAGAGGAAGCAAATCGCTTAGTGCGAATTGGTGGAATATCAACGACATAAGAATGGAGTGCTCCGGACCTTCTACTCGACCGAAGGAGGAACGGTGAGGGTGGAACTAAATTGAAAAGTTCCTGCGCACACTCCCCGAAATGTATCCGATAGAAAAAGAAGCTTATATTCATTGACTTACAAATAAATGGACGACGGGTCTAATACAAAAACCATGAAAAAAATGTCCCAAGTCAACCTATTTAAACGTAGTGACATGTAAAGGAATATGAAAAAGCTAAAACGTTGAATTTAAACTGAATGTCATCGCAGTACTGTCTAATTTTGCTTGCTTCGCTGTCAGTCGAACAAACGAAGACTAAAGCGTGAATGACGCTCTGTATACGATTTTAACGCCCTATAAGTTCGGACACTTATTAGCGCGGACCCAAGTCCATATAATTGTAAGTCAATGCTTATATTAGTCAGTTCTAGTCGCGAAATTTTAGAATTAGTCGCTCGTTTGTTTAAAAGATATTGGATATTCAATTATATTTTAATTGATATGCACATTTATGTACAAAAATCGTACACATAATGAAAAATGTATATCTATACTCCGTCCAACCGTTTTTTTTTCTTCTTTCCATAAAGGAAAAGGCAAAGGTTTTACACCATACAGCCAAGTCTTGGTACATTATTAAGTCTTTTGAGCCATGTCTTCGTTTAATTATGTTTCTGTAAATATGGCCGCCACAAAGGGGATAGGCAATTTGAGGCGGCGTGCTTGGATTGGCTCGGGATTCCTTAGAACGGGCAGATACGGGTATTTTAGTTCGAGATTCGTATAATTTCGCGTTTTAATCTTCGATTAAGGCACAATAGCACTATCCTATTCCACTTTAAACTAGATTTCACAAAATAATTGAAAGTCAAAATAAAAACGACACTTTTGACAGTTCGAATTCTAATCAATTAGTGATGTCCTAACGCGTTTCCGATTAGATTTTTTTATAACAATCGATTTTATGGTCACGCTGGAATAAGGCACACCTTCACGCGTGCATGTTTGTTTCGTCATTTCCACGCGAAAGACGTCCACTTGTGGACACAGCCCTGTGGACGACGACCGGTCTGTTTTGAGACCTCTGACTGAAGGTTACCTGAGCAGCAGCCTCACACGCTGCAGTGATAGCGTTGATCTTGACCACGGCGGGCTCCCACACGCACGACTCGAAGTTGTCCGCGATGTTCTCCTTCTGGATGTCTATTCCGTACCAGATGTCTCCTGCAAGTTGACGGTTTAGCTGAAAGTTTAGCTGAGTAGACCACTAAAGGTTTTGAGATAAGTTTATTTGTAAAACATGAGTTTTATTTTTTATATACATGACAGGCAAATGACTCCACTCCACCTGATGTTAAGTGGAAAGTGGTATCCAAACGCGAAGGAACCTAGTGCAGCGATGAAATCCTCACTGCACTAGCCGCCTCCACCCTGCCTGCCTACAATATGCCTCTTCACGCCTCGTTTGAAGGACCCCATATCATAAGAGGGAGGGAAGACATGCGCCGGAAGGGAGTTAATTTGTTTAGGAAACAGATGGCGGGACTTGGAACATGAGCACGTTGTTAACGCTTACACTTAAATTGAAAAGCGTGCTTAGGTTCTTATTTTTAAACGACTTAAAAATGAGGAGGATTTTGTTGGTTCTTTTTTTATTACCTTATTATAGTTTCCATATAAATTTGCAGAAAATATTCCACCTCTAAGGGATGAATCAGATATCGCGCACTTTTCGATAACCGATTTCAAAACCTGGCGAATAGATGTAATTCCACGAGCTTTTGGAGTCGGTTTTTTTTAATACTCTGTACTGGTCGTTATTATAAAAAGCAAACATTTTAAGTGCTTTTCTCTCACCTCTTTTTTTTTTAATAATAACGCACACACTCAACATAGCCCCGCACTAGGGAAACCCTGTGTCGCGGGTGCCATGGACACACACATAGACAACCACAAATTACACCCAAACTCACGAGATAAATAAATGTAGGCCATACAAATATTTCCCCCGGCCCGGGAATCGAACCTGGGGCCTCTGCGTGTCAGTCCGGCATGGTAACCGTTCGGCCACGGAGGCAGTTGAACCTCTAGTTAAGTTTTTAGATATGTATGTAATGTGATTGTAAAGTCGAGTCGTTTATTAGTTCAATGGCAGTAGCATGGCAGAATATGTGTGATAAACCTCCCCGTGACAAAATTTAATCCAGTTGATAAATATAACTTTGCTTATTTGATAATGAACTATTGTTATACATTTTGAAGAACAAGGACAACGATATGAAATTGCGTATATAGCTATCTTTGTCGTTTAATCAGCGCCGCGAAAAACCATGAAACAAAAAATGTCTTCATCTCGTTTGTCGCGTTAAATTTTTTTGATGTTGATAAAATTACTGTGCAAATAAATGTTCGCGTTACAAAATTTTAAAATGCCAGTTTATCACTCGAATTTGATAGCTAAATGTGGATATAATAGCTAAATGGAAACGGCATAACGGGGGCAGTTAGTCAAATATGTATGTTAGTTGACTCACCCTGATGATGCTTCTGCCGCAGCTTGTTCAACAGGTTGGTGGCATCGAACCCTGCGTTGTCGCAGAGCTGCCTGGGGATGGCCTCGAAGGCGCGCGCTACGGCGCCCAGCAGCAGCTGCTCCTTGCCCATCACAGTCTTCGAGTACTCGCGCATGTGTTTCGAGAGCTCCATGTCGATGGCACCCCCGCCTGGAATATTCCGACCGTTTACTTCATACATTATGCATTATAAGTACCCAGTTATAAAACAGTTTAATAATTATAAGTACTTAAAAGTTTTTATTGCATGTCCAACGTTTCACCGCCATGATGTTCAATTATTTTTGTGAAGTTACGCCATTTGTTTATTATTACTTATTAATAAATTATAAATGATTATAAAATAAATAGGTTAGGTTAAGTTAGTTTCAAGAAATTAGACCAGTATGTTCGTAAAATACCTATAGTCCATTGACTTACAATTATATGGACGTCGGGTCCGCGCTAAAAAGTGTCCGAACTTATAGGGCGTTAAAATCATATACAGAGCGTCATTCACGCTTTAGTCTTCGTTTGTTCGACTGACAGCGAAGCAAGCAAAATTAGACAGTACTGCGATGACATTACAATTTAAATTCAACGTTTTAGCTTTTTTATATTCCTTTACATGTCACTACGTTTAAATAGGTTGACTTGGGACATTTTTTTCGTGGTTTTTGTATTAGACCCGTCGTCCATTTATTTGTAAGTCAATGCTATAGTCGGTCTTTTTTGGGGTCGGAGTAAAATTAGGTGCATTTGCAGGTTTGCCAGCTTTCAGAGAATTTTATGTAGTTGTTGTCGGCAGTTTTATCGATAGACTGTGAAAGAATGTAAATTTTTTCCAAAAATACCTGAATTGTGAATGTACGACGTTCTTATGATGAAAAATTGCGTTTTCACCTTCTTTATTCTTATTTTGACAGTTGGCCTACAAGTATCAAAGTCAATTTTTTAACCGACTTCAAAAAAGGAGGAGGTTCTCAATTCGACTGTATGTTCTTTTTTTTTCTTTTTTTTTTGTATGTATGTTACGCGATAACTCCGGTATTTGTGAACCGATTTTAATTTTTTTTTTGTTGGAAAGGGGGTACCATAGTGGTCCCATTTCATTTTGAAGAAAATCATTCACCTTGAAGGGTGGCTGTTCACGCATGAAGATTCATTTTTATAAATAGCGCCTAACTTTAATTTAGGAGCAATTACTTTTAGCAAATATTTAGTTGATTTTGCTATTTATCCAACTCAAGGTGTTTTTCCCTCGATATACTTTGAGTAGTGTCGTAGTGAGAACCTATTTTTATTATCTCCAGTATCAAGTCCTGTATAGTGGCGAACTAGGGGATATTTCAATGAAACTTAGCAAATAGACGTAATTCCACTTACTTTTGAGGTCGGTTTTTTTAGTACTCTGTACTGAGATTATAATCATATACGTTTTAAAAACGATAGGCGGATTTGATTATGTATATTAAATATAATTGAAAAACTTTAAAATAGGTTTCCACTATTTTTAATAGTCATACCTAGTGTATGTCCAACAAACAAGTTCAGCTATTTATTGCATAAGCGTGACCAAAATTCAGTCGACAGTCGATAAAATATTTATCGTGTAATTTTATCGACTGTAATCACTAGCTGCTTGTAAGTGTATAGTTTTTTTTTATAATACCAAGTGCCGGGACGAACAAGTCCTGCACCTGATGGTAAACTACACGCCTGTTCATAACAGTTGCAGTGCCAAGAGCCTTAAATCGCAAAGAGTTTATGGGCACTGCCACTACACCTGTCACCCTGAGACATAAGTTGACAAGTCCCATGTGCCTGTAATTTCACCAGGACCCTTAAAACTTAGTTTTGAAGGTAAACCGGAAAGCAGTAACGCTTATAACTGCTAAAATACATAAGGTGGCAGTAATTTCCTGGACGAACCTTTGACAAGGAGCTCTACTGCTTCTAGACGAGTATAAACGCACTTGATGCTGAATGCTAGTAAAACGTGTAAAGAAAACATACCCGCGACGACGGCATCGTTCTTGATAGTCCGCCTGACAATCATGATGGCGTCGTGCAGCGACCGCTCCGTCTCCTCGAGGAACTGCTCAGCGCCACCCCGCAGGATCAGAGTGCATGTCTTCGCCGCTGGACATCCTGCAAGGGTTGTTGTTGCTTTAGAAGGGTGGCTTGATATGTGAGTTTACAATTTGTATGATAATGATTAATACAAATATTCTTTGTGTTAATAATTAATATTGAAAATGTTTCTAAATAACTGAAATTTTAATACAGTGCATAGTATCATTTACAGATTTGGTCTACTTTTCTTGTGTTATGTTTTTAACCGACTTAAAAAAGGAGGAGGTTCTCAATTCGATTTTGACGATTCTTTGGTGAGAAGAAGGTACCTCAGTAGTGGTCCCATTTAAATTTGAAGAAAATATTCCACCTCTAAGGGTGGCAAACTAGGGGATGAATGACTTTTGAGGTAGGTTTTTTCAGTACGTACTGAGGTACCCTTTTTCCAATAAAAAAAAATCATCAAAATCGGTTCAGTAATAACTTATCGCGTAACATATATACAAAAACAAAAACACAGTCTTAATTGAGAACCAACTCCTTTTTTGAAGTCGGTTAAAAAGAATTGAATATCGCAGTAGTAAAACATTGTGATATTCAATAAAGCCTCACATTACTTTAGCTATGATGAGGGCAGAATGATCATTATAGAAGTGTCCAATAGTTAGGTTTTTTTAAAAGGAAACTGGACAAGTTTTTTTTTAAGAAATACCGATAAATGGTATAGACAATGCGTATACTACAACTAGTTCTACCAGCACGTTACACTACGAATAGCTCTACAAGTGGTAGAAAATGATTACTGTTTTTGTGACTAACAATTTTATATCCAAGGCAATTTTTGACATATCGATGGTTTTCTAGAATAGTGGCCTATTTCAAAAACAACAAAGAAGTATGGCGACATCCCGTGTATTTCGTGACCCAGAGTTTTTGACGACGCGACGTGCATTAAAGAGACCTATCAATACTTGTGGTTATTATACAACTTCTGCGTACTTGAATGACAAAAATCCGTGGTGGTAACCCGTTTAGCTCATGGAGTCTCGATGATTACAAATGTTATTTACAAAAAGCAACCCCTAGAGTTTCTTGCTCATTCTTCTCAGGGGAATCTGCCTTACGAATGAGCGGTAGAGTTTAACCATTGTAACGATTTCAAGTGTAATAATGCTTACCTATTATTTTGAATTTGAATTTGTGATACATTATCAAAACATCAAAAAAGCTAATTGAGAACAGCCTGTAGAAGCTGGGGTTATAAAGTTGATATAGGTTATGTTTATTACATTGTCCTGTATTGCGCTTCAGATGTTTGTTCGTAGTAGCAGAAAACAACAAGTTTTCAG